TCCGCTCATAATATCTATGTATTATAATTGATAATAACAATTGACTAAATTTATAAGCGTGAAGTTATGTTCGACATTTGTCCTTTGCCGTCGCATTTTGAGAATCGATCGATTCAGTCAACAGATTAATGCGACGATTAACGCAATAATGCGACGTAAATCCCATATCGCGATAAAAATTGCATACCGAGAACGTTATGCGATTGGATCTTACACAACGATAGTATCGACAGTATTGCGAAAAGTCACGAATATTTTTATTAGTTTCTGCAGGAATTTGTTGTATGTACGTGTCTAGAAAGAATAATTCGAGATTAGATTAGATTAGATATGCGGGACTTTATTGTGGAGCTTATCAGCGTTCTGTCATCGATTAACATCAGTTTTGCACCGGTTAATCTACAATTGCATTTCGGCATTTTACATGGCGAAACAATCTCTAAAACTTGATTTATGTGTTGCATGACTTAAAGAATAATAATCTTTCTTGTATTTCTAATTTTAATAATTATTACGAATTTCAATGTACTCGTAAAGTCCATCTTGATCAATGCGACAAAATTATTCATTACAATAGAAATTTAATGTAACAATAATTAATTTATTTGTTATACTTTGACTTAATACAGCGAGGATTTGCGGAAATTATATTTCTATGATTACATTTAGCTATATTCAGCAGAAAAAAAACAATTTGCAACTGCTGTAAGATTCTTTAATATATGATCGATTTATATAATTTAGATCCAGTGAGGAACTAAGAGTAAGATCTTAAATTATATTAAAATAATTTATAACAGTTGCAAAGTTACTTTTTTTTTAAACGTAGCCATCGTATTTTTTTTTTTTTTTTTTTTTTAAATAAACGAAATGCTAATTAAACGACAGATAAAGTATAATGATACATAATTATTTTTCTGAAAATCTTTAATATTGGTATTTGAAAATCGCTGCTTATAGAAAATCACTTGGTACGAAATTTTTTTTTATTCTTGATAAAGTTGTTGGTGCAAGATACGAGGCAAGCCGGTTATTTATGCGTGTACTTGTTGCTCGACAAGAGCTATTCTTACGCCGGTTTTATCCTCTCGATACATTTTGCTATTAAGCACTGTTTCGTTCCGCTATCAGTCGTGCACGGATAACGAGAGAACAGCGGGAGAGGGAAACGACGTCGCCGATGGGCGATAGACGGAAGGTGGTGGTCACCGTCAGGTCATTCTTGAGCAGTAGTCGTAAGATGGTTCCTCTGTTCTTCGGTTTCTCCTCAGTTGACACCTCGAAGCAGTAAACGCGCGATTCTCTTCGCCGCCGTGTATGTCATGTGAATCAAGACACGTCGAACTAAACATCGAAATAACATCAACTTTCTTGTGATTGTGTGTTTACATTAAACATTGTCGAATTCGATGACTGTCTGTTCGACAGACTGTCTTCTACCCGATTCGTGATCTTTCACTAGCTAGATCTTACATTGCGCGACCGATTCACGTGTCGTTGTAGAAAAATTTTGTTATGCGCATGAAAAAAAAAAAGGAAAAGTAAATTACAGATGTAAAATTCCTACAATGCAAAAGATTTATTATAAATAATCTAACTGCGTTATATACTAGTATATTGTATATGGAGTGCTTATTATTGAAAAAAATTGAGGTGTGTTCTGCAAAATTGGAGGAAGTTCACAAGACAGATACAATACTGACAAAATTTTCCGAAATTATCTTAAGCGCCTATTTTTCTTTTATCAAACATAAATTTAATTAGTTTTCTGAAGATCGCTTCAAAGAAAAGAGCTTCATGGTTTGTCGATGCAATGAGATATTAAAGAGAGTGACACGTGGATCGCTTCAGCATTGAAAATCACGCGAAAATGTTTGCTTACTATATTTCTAGAGTAACCCTTGTCATAGTCTTTTATTATCCTTTGTTATCTTCTAAATGATTATATTAATTGTTTTCGTACATGTATAAGTTCTTCAAGCAATAACACAACACTCGGGAAATATGATAAAATTTTTTTAACAGTAGCCTTTCTTATAAATAAATTGTTTCAACGTCTATCTAAGTTTTCATACGATAAGATGATTTAATCGATTAAACAAAATTTTTATACACTGATTTGGAATCACACTTTTCCAATTATCTAATCTCTTCCAGTTGTATCCTGCAATCAGATGTCGTGAATCAAAGAATTCGTATTATCTTATCTGACAAATTTGCATTTATTCTAATCAAGTAGCAAGGCCTAGACTTAAATCGAAATCTGCGATCGCGATTAACAATACAGAAACAAAAATAATATAATTAATTTCATGTTTCTTTCCCTATGGATATTGTAGGTGTAAAAAAAAGTGCCAACAGGATCTCGAAAACATGGGGTGAGTACACGAAGTTTCTCCGTTGATGTTAAAAAAATAAAATCACAAAATTAATTATTTTAATTTTCCACACAAAGGGGATGTCTCTTCGAATAAATTTGTTAAATTTGAAATATCAAATTTTAATATTGTTGTGTATCGGAATTACACTAGCAGGATTAGCATAAGGTAGAAACGTTATGACTTTTCGCTGTCGTATAACGACTTATATTATCGACTATATGTATGAGATTTTTATTTTCTCGATTTTTCTTCTTGTAATTCTGTCTCTTTATCTGCATATATTCGGTGCATATAGAAATATTTGCTGATCGATCTATTACTACTTGCTCTATTGTTTCCAAGCGTTACTGACTTCGATATCTAATCTGAATTCTTATCATTTGCAAGGCCGCAAGGCCAAATAGAACGACGACTTTATGCATGCTACCTGTTAAATAAATTTTTAACGTTACTTGAAAATAAATGAAAACGAAGTTTATTAGCGCTTTAAATCAAGTCTCTTTATATTTCATGATTTTAATTTGTCAGTGACGAACAATCAGATTTTTCATAACAAGTGACGTTCAATAAATATATTTGCATGGTTTTTCAAGTACCTAACTTTTTATTATTCTATAAACTTAATTTTATTTTTTTTGTTATTATTAAATTATTAAACTGAAAATTCTTGCTCAGATTAACTAATATACCCTATAACTAAATTAATAGACTTATAGGGTTGCAAATTGTGACAGGGAAGCTTATTACGTATTGAAAGGCGTTTAAGAGTCGCACATTCTTTGGGATATTTGCAGCGCAGAGACAGTCGACACCGGGGGTGTTTTCAGAAAACCTGGTACGGGACCGGAAGTCTTCAAGCACCAGAAATTGCCTGGGAACATGGAACGAGGATTGCACGAGCGTGATAGAGTTGGCGTTCAGGACTTCGTTCTGCTGGAGGACTTTCGCAGCGAATCCGCCTTCATCGACAATCTGCGCAAACGATTCAAGGAGAATCTAATTTACGTGAGTCGAAAACATAATTAATTAATTAATCCGTATTTTTAATTTAGTTTTATGTATTGTTTATAATTAATAAGGAATAAATTTTGAAAGTTCGAAATTTCTTATACAAAAAGATTTTATTTTATATTTTCAGCTTATCTTTTTACGTAAAATCACGCACACCGAGAAAAATATTTTAATTAAATCAACAAAAGGGCTCGACAAGAGTGGCATTTTAGTTTAGGATTTATCACATTTACTACGTTTTTTTTTCAGTGTAGATTTCTTAGTTATAATGCTATAATAATTTCTTAGTTATAATACTATTCTAAAAAACTTAGGATGTCAATGATTTGAGAGAAATATTTCTTATCTTTATCGTAGACGTATATTGGCCAAGTACTGGTGTCAGTGAATCCTTATAAGAAACTTCCCATTTATACCCCGGAGACCATTCTTTACTATCACGGGAGAAACTTCTTCGAGGCACCTCCTCACATGTAAGCGTCCATCTTGTTTTGCTATATACAGTGTTCCGGAATAAATTCGTACAACTTTCGCCAAGAAAAACGTCTGCGAGAGAAAGTACGACATATCCGGGACACTCTATGTAAGATAAAAAGTAATATTGGTATTTCCGTGAATTATAAAAATCCATTTTTGCAGTTTCGCTCTTGCGGACACTGCCTATCAATCTCTAGCTAAAGAGAATCGCGACCAATGCATTCTGATTTCGGGTAAGAATTTGCACTTTCATTCCTTTCACATCGAGTTTTGTATAATTTCTTTCTGTTATTTTTTATGAAGTTTAATTTTCCATATTTTTTTACGTCTTTTATTTGCGTTTAAGGCGAATCGGGATCCGGGAAAACGGAGGCGTCCAAGAAGATCTTGGAATTTATTGCGTCTGCTACCGGTCATAAAAAACAAGTAGAAGAAGTGAATAATAAATTGATTGGCAGCAATCCCGTGTTGGAAGCTTTCGGTAACGCGAAGACCAATCGCAATGATAATTCATCGCGCTTCGGCAAGTACATGGACGTTCAGTTCAATTTTCAGGTGAAATGTCAATCTAATAATGAATTTCTTCTAAAAGTAGAATCAAAAGGAATTGAAGAAAATTTTCGCGAAAATTTTGTGACAAATAATAATCGTTGTATTTTTAGGGAGACCCAGTCGGTGGAAATATCCTAAACTATTTGTTGGAGAAGTCTCGAGTGGTCCATCAATCGGTGGGCGAACGAAATTTTCATATCTTTTATCAGCTTTTAGCAGGCGCGGACGATGACACGTTGAGAAAATTACATTTAAAGAAAAATCTCGATACTTTCTTCTACTTGAGTAACGGGGTGAGTCCACCATTCGGTTCTCATATTTGATTTTTTTAAGTTAAAATCCTTTCGCTTCTTTCGTTTTTCTACAATCTCTTTGTTAATCGATCTCTCAGACGAAAGGAACAGTGGATACCATCGACGATGCTAATCAGTACAAGGAAGTCGTCCGGGCGATGAAGACTATGGAAATGTCTCAGCAGGAGCAGAACGACTTGTTTGCTATAGTCGCGTCGGTGCTGCACATGGGTAATGTGGGTTTCTCGGAGGAGGATGGAGTGGCAACTATTCTGAAACCTGGATCTGTCGATGCCATCGCTATGGTAATTATTTCCAAAATCTAATAATTTTTATTAAAATCGTTGATGAAGAATCGCGCTTGTTTTGGCTATCGAGATTTAGAAAATATTATAGTATTAAAATTATTAATTTTTTATGTTTTGTTGTAATTATTTATGTTTTATGTTTTTTTCATCATTATTTCACGTTTATCATTATTTTTTTTCTAATTATTTTGTTATGTACATAAATGTATTACTTGCAAATTGCTGGATGTCACATTTCTTAATTGAATAGCTGCTAGGATGTGACGTGAAGCGACTGGCAAAGGCATTTACTCATCGTACCATAGATGCTCACGGTGACGTGGTGGTTTCACCCTTGAATAGGGAATTGGCTATTTATGCGAGAGACGCACTAGCGAAGGCCGTATACGACAGATTATTCACCTGGCTCGTGACTAGACTCAACAAGTCTCTACAGCCCCAGATCAATCCTCGACGCAAAATGGTCATGGGCATTTTGGACATTTACGGCTTTGAAATCTTTCAGAAGAACAGGTATAACGTATAACACAATAACAATTACTTACGCTCGAAGACTTTATGAAAATATTACGAGTGTCATAAATAATAGTTTCAGAAAAATTCATTCTTTTCTAAAGTTTTTTTTTTTATAATTTTATTATTTTAAATACTTTTTATATTCTATATCTTAAATTGATGTTTTGATTTGATGAATAGGATTTTTTAACAAAAATTTATTATCACCAATACATATGATATAACATGACGATCACATTTAATTAATGATAATTTTCTCTTTCTTTATTTCGACAGTTTCGAGCAGTTCTGCATTAATTTTTGCAATGAGAAGTTGCAACAGCTGTTTATCCAACTGACATTGAAGTCAGAACAGGAAGAATACCTGCGCGAAGGAATAACCTGGGAGAATATAGATTATTTTAATAACAAGATTATCTGCGACCTAATTGAAGAGAAGTATAAAGGTAAAATTTTTATAAAATTCTAATCCACATTTGCAATCATATGTACATTATTAATTAAATATTTAATCTGATAGGAATAATATCGTTAATGGACGAAGAATGTTTGCGACCTGGAGACACAACGGACATGAGCTTCCTGGAGAAATTGAACGTAAATCTGAGCAACCATCCTCATTACATCAGCCATCAGAAAGCTGACAAACAAACGCAAAAGATTATGGGACGAGACGTAAGAATTCTATACCATACATAAAATATTAAACTGAATCATGAATAGTAATATTTCGAAATATTGTAGAAAGAATTAAATTATTTATTTAATTATTTCAGTTATTTTGTTTTTGTTAAATTAATTTTATTCAATTATATATATAAATATATCTGTTAACTAACTTGCATTATATTTATTGTAGTTATTATTATTTATAATTATTTGTGAAACTCACACGAAATTAAGAATATAAGAATAAGAATAAGAAAAAAAATTGAGAAAATAAGAATAATATTGACATTTTAGGAATTCAGATTAGTGCATTACGCTGGCGATGTTACGTACAACGTTCGCGGATTTCTCGAGAAAAACAATGATTTACTATTTCGAGATTTACGTGAAGTTATGTCGCATACTACGAATTCCATTACAAAGGTAAACATTTAATTTTTTCATAGGAAAAAAAATAAGAAAGAATCTATTTGTA